CTTCAATCTCAGCTTCTGTGGCACCACTAGTAACAATGCCAATAACGTAGTTAGCAACCCTAACAATTCTGGTTTCTTGATGGCCGACCAGGCGAACGCAGAACCGATGACTCTCTTCGCTGGAACCTACATGGGCGACTATACCGAGCCAATGCAGCTTCCTCAGATGTCGGCGACGGCCTTGCTTCAAAAGGCAGCGCAGATGGGGTCCACGACTAGCGACGGATCAGGTGCAGCAGCGTTCGGGGGCATAACTAGGGCGCAGATGGAGAACGAGGCGAACCTACAGGATCTTATGAACTCTCTAGCCAATGGAAATGCCGGGATCTTCGATGGGTTTGGGCACCATCAGGGGTTGAATGAGATGGATCATCATCCACATGAGAGCAAGTTGCACCAGAGTTTAATGGGAGGGGGTTCTGATGGACTGACTAGGGATTTTCTCGGTGTTGGGAGTGTGGTTAGGGGTTTAGGGGGTGGATTGGGTCAGAGAGATCAGAATCAAATGGGCTCATTGAACTCGGGCTCAACGGGTGGCAGCCGGAGTTTCGGAGGTGGGGCCTTGCAGTGAGAAGAATGGTGCAAGGAGGAAGAAGATGTAGGTGAAAGTTAAAGAGAAAGAGAGAGAAGTAAAATATAGCAAGTAGGAATGTAACTCAACTTAGTGAACTTGTTGAAGTGTTTGTGTTAAGTTAGTGCAGTGTTAAGTACTGTTTTTGTTAGTGTTATAGTGTTGTTAAAGTTGAGGAAACTTGTGTCGTAACTCTCAACAGTTGAGGATAGATGTAAGTCCTTAATTGGAAATATATAGAGTTCTTGTTTAATTTTAGCCTATTTTTGTGATTATTGTTTTTCTAGGAAAGGTTCGGCAAGGTGAAATAGGAGGAGATTCTTGTTGGAGGTAAGGGCTAAATATGCGTGGGGTAGTAGTAGTGGCAGTACAATATATGTGGTTAATGGGTGCATTTTTTAATGTGAAAGCATGTGATTGTCTAAAATTGGGGAAACCCATGTAACTCTCATCATATGAGAAGATGTAACTCCATAATTAGAAATATATAGAGGAGTTGGGTAAGTTTAATCTACTTTTGACGTGTTTTAAAAAGTTGAGATGATAGGTTTTATGTGAAAGGTTGAGCAAGGTGAAAGAAGAGGAGATGCTTTTTAGAGTAAGGCTTACTATACATGAGATAATAGTGGGAGTACAAGTAGAATATATGTGGTGAATGGGTGCTTTCTTCAAAGTTGGAGCACGTAATTAGCCCTACATCCTTGGATCCCAACAATTTATGTGCTGGCATGTTCCCCTTGTGTTGTATTGTCTAGCATCATCATATGTCCTCGCCTCTCTCTCTCTCTCTCTCTCTCTCTCTCTCTCTCTCTCTCTCTCCCATGTGTGCATGTGTATGTAATTATTTTAGTGTGAGTGAGAAAAACTTATGCATGCCTTTTGTTTTGCTTGTGACTACATGTGTGCATCTGTATTTCTGTGTTTGTTTGTGTTAAAGAGAGAGAGAGAGGCGTTAATAAGGATGCAATAGATCTAGAGTGAGATTCATATTTTCTCCATTTCAATATAAACATCAGTCTTTACATCATAAACCTCTATTATTTGGTGGATGGTTATAATTTAATGTTTTAGCTGAAAAATTTTAATACAATTCACAGAGGATATCTGTTATTTGAGATTAATGGGTATCATATGTCATATGAGAGGAGTCATATGAGAGGATTCCTTCATATACAATGATGTGGCACAATCTCCAGTAAGTGTGGTTATGATGCATTCTCTCTCCTATTTTATTGACTTGGTGAAGATTGTGTCATATTATTGTATATGAGGGAATCCCCTCATATGACTTATGATACCCATTAATCTCTTGTTATATTTAGAAATAAATCATAGCAATCTAAATAATGAGTATAANTTTCACGTCCATGGGATGTCGGTTTACCAGGGCAAATAAGCAGGAGGCTCATGATAGGGTTTGGTCCAGAATAGACAAAGCTTTTGTAAATCAACACTGGGTTGATACTTATGCTAACATTTATGTTGATTTTCTACCTAAAAATGTGCCTGATCACTCATCTGGTGTAATACTATTGGTGGTATTTCCTCAGCATGGAGTAAGAAGTCCTTTAGATTTTACAGAATGTGGACTCAGCATCGCGATTTTCTCTCTTTGGTTAGAAGAGTTTGGCTTTCTAATATACATGGTTGTAGGATGTATATCCTTTCTCAGAAGCTAGAACTTCCTAAGAAGGAATTATCCCTTCTAAATAAAAATAATTTCTCTAATATCTCAAATCAGATTATCCACCGTAAATCTTACTTGATGATGTAAAGCATAAGCTTCAGACTGATCAATTGAATCATCTTTTGGTTGAAGAGGAGAGAGTCTAAGTACTCAAGGTTAATTGCTATACTAAATCCCTCTATTATCAACAAAAAATGTATTGGAGTGCCTTTTTCATGTGGTAGGCTGACTAGAGTCCAATGTCAACCTCTTATTGATAAGCTGCTTACAAAAATCAATTGATGGCATGCTAGGAGACTATTATGCAGACCGGGTAGCATGGATCAGGTCTGTGTTGTTTGGCATTCAGATATATTTGACTAATGACTTTCTCTTACCAAATTAAGCAAGTTCTGAAAAATATAAACTCAGTTTGTAGAAGTTTCTTTGGGGAGGGAGTGAAAAAAAAATCCCCCACGTTTGCGTGGAAGGATGTATGAATATCAAAAAAAAAAAAAGGTTGGGGGTCTTGGCTTATATCATGCTGAGGGGTGGGATCATTCTTCTATTGCACATCTCTACGGATTAAATGGGTTCATGAGGCTTATTTGAAGTCTTATGATATATGGCATGTTAAATCTAAGTCCACTGATGTCTGTCAATGGCAATGGAAACAAGTGCTTAAAGATATCTGTTACTTATCATAAACTTTATGATCATGATTCACCTTCTGCTTGGTGTCCTCTTGTTTAGGGGCCCTTAAATATGCCTAAACACGGTCAAATTGAATGGCTTGCAGCACGGGAGAGGCTCCTCGAGGATGAAAGTTATTGATCCTGACCGTTGTTACTTTTGTCAACAGGAGGAGCAAAACTTGGATCATTTTTGTTCTTGAAGTGTTCCTATTCTTCCTCTATTTCGAGTTCTGTAATGGCATGGAATTTACTTACTCGTTACCCTTCTTCTTGGCATGAAGTTCTACAGTGGCATACTTCTCTGCGTAGGGTTGAACTTATCACTTATAAGACCCTAGAAGTAAGTATCGCAGCAAGCTTGTATATCATCTTTGGTTTGAAAGAAATAGGAGACATTATTCACCCAAGTTGCTATGATTAAAAGAGAGGTCCTAACCAACGTGTTTAAGGCTCGTATTCCTTGTTATTCTATGTATAGATATTTGTGATTCTTAAAGAATTTTATATTATTTTGTTTTGATTGACTCATCTGATCAGGTATGCCTAAGTTTTATGTTGTGTACATATTTTTCACATGGTTAATGACATTTTCATTTTTTTTTAAAACAGTCTAAATATGATTGCGCATTTATGCTTAAAGTTATTTGGCTACTGTACGTCACATATAGTTAATATAGTTAACATTGAAAATATACTTTATTTTAGTGATTTCTTTAGCGTTAAAGGGCGAGGTGTATAATATAATCCTCTTTCAATGTGAAGAATGTCATAAATTAAGTTTAGACTATAGCCACTTAACAGCTATATTCTATTCGCAGTTTCAAACTACAAAAACTAATTAAAATGTCCAAACCAACATTCCATCTTGAGATTCTCAGACAATTATTCCCTGCAGTCAAAAAACTGATTGACCACGCATCTTGACCCTAGTTGACTCCTAATTTTGACAAATGAAAAGATCTACCCCTCTGTCTATCGTGCGCTGCTTGTTCCTGATGCGGTGCATGGTAGCAGTGTTTTTTGATGTTTTCCTACTTGTTTTTTACTTTGTTATTTCTTTCTGTGCGTTTGGTTTTGTCTCCTCCATACGAATCTTGGCAGCGGGGTGGTACCACTATGGACGACGAAGCTGACACTGAATGCGATGTCACGCTGTTATTTTTTTAATGTCAAATATAGTTTATATTCTTATCCACCTTGTATTTTACTTTTCTATGTCAAATTATGATCTTTTGTGAATTAAAATTTTATTTATATAAAAATAATCTTTCGTTGATATCAAAAGACCATTCCAACTACTTTTGTGAATGGCGGTTTGAATGGCGTATGTTAGAAGGCGATTTTTTTGTTTCTAACATACGCTCCGGCCAAGATTTCGATGGCAAGAAAGAAGAAATTCAATGGAAAAAAGATCCTCAATCTAGGTCTTCGAGCTTCAAATTCAGATTTATGTTCTCTTGATGATCAGTCTGTTGATGGGTTTGATGAAGAGGAGAATTCTATCATCATGAATTCTACTGGACCTCAAGGAGCGAAGAAAAAGAAATCCATGGCGATGATCCTCAGAGATTGTTCTCAGGTATCCTCTCATCCTTTAGAGATTCAATTGAGTAAAACTCCATCCAGGGGTAAAGAAATTGATAATTCTTGTAAAGAAGTGGGAAGTTCTTCAAGAATCTCTTGGGCGGAAGAATCTGAATTTGAGAATCAGCATTCTCATATCAATTCTCCTCATAATAATGATGCGGATAAATCAAGAACTGAGAATGTTTCTTTGGTTTCGGCTGAAAAATTTGGATCTGGAATATTGATTACAGAGTCTGATAAATCAAGAAATGAGAATGTTAATTTTCCTCCATTGAAATCTGCAAATGATGATAACATTCAAGTGCAGGAAAAATCTCCTAAAAAAAGCTGGGTTAGTTGTTTTGCTGATAATAGAAAAGCAGGAGGTGGTTTGCCGCTGGAATTTTTACCTCCTGATGCAAAAGATACTATGTCTTTTAATGATGAAGAGTGGAATGAAGGAATTTCTATGTGGCAATTTTCTTTAGTTGGTCAGGTTCTTGGATTAAATGTTGGTTTCAAAGCTATGGAAAATTATGTTAGGAAAATATGGGCAAACTTGGCCACTCCAGATATATTCATTCTAAAACCTGGAATCTTCTTGTTTAATTTTAAAAGCAAAGATGAGATGAGTGAGATTTTAGAAAATGGCCCATGGTTTTTTGGATCTCGGCCGCTCTCATTGAAGACTTGGTCCTTTGGTGATGACATTGAAAAACAAAATGAATGCATCTACCCTGTTTGGATTCATCTACCAGCCTTGAAGCTTAACTTGTGGAATGCTAAAAGTATAAGTAAAATTGCAAGCGCTGTTGGTCATCCAATTACCACGGATAAACTTACAGCTAATACTTACAGCTAATAAGAAAAGATTAGCTTATGCAAGGGTTCTTGTGGAAGTGACTATGCCTTCTCCTCTTCCAGATTGTATTACCTTAAAGGGTCCAGATGGCAAACTTTATAATCAAAAGATTTTATATGAGCTAAAGCCTAGATGGTGTAATCACTGCAAGATTGTGGGGCATGACACTCTGTACTGTAAGAGATTTCCTAGAATTCAGAGATGGATTCCAAAAGTTTCTGCAGCTCAGAATACACAAAAAAAACCTGTGCATGTTTCTAATGTCAATGATATTCCCCCAAAGATTCAGATAACAGTAGCTCCTACTCCCCCAAATGATCCAGTACCTATACTTAATATATCACAAATGTCTGGTGGGGAGGATGAAGTTTCAGCTGTAAGCTTGCCTGTGCATGTTTCTCAGATTAGTGAAAAGTCTGGAAAATTTCAGCAGCAGGATAAGGAAAAGGAATTATCACCTAATTCTCATGAGTTTCAAGGACAGCAAGTGTGCACAACTCCACAGTTTTCAGGGTTGCATAGTCTTGTGCATGGAGTACA